CCCCAAAACCCCAAAACCCCAAAACCCCATCTGGCTTAAATAGGGAAAACAGTAAAGTTAATTAAGTAATATATTAGTGAAACGTAGTAATAAATCTGAGCGTGCTAACTTGATTATACAATAATAATTAAAGTTTATATGACATTAAGTTAAGGGGACTTGCTTCAACAAAGATTTTAACTAGAATAACAAATAGGAAAAGGCGTATCTGGCACGGTTTGGCTCTGCTACGACAAACTCCTTACTAAATAGTGTGCCGTCAAAATTGTAATCTACTATTTAATTATTTGAATTTCCCTTTAGATAGAGGACAAGACAACATACAATAGTGAGCAGTAAATAATGAGTAGCTTAACTTAAATCTAAAGCTAAGGTAAATAGATAAATGTTTATATTATGAAAGGGGTTATATCACTAATTTGCAATGGAAAATCAAGAGGTAAATATTTCATTACTATGGAAAAACTTGGACCAAGTCTCTAGTAATTAATTTAAAACATGAGAGTTACTCTTTCGCGGAAAACTGTTGCAATGATAGGCCTTCAACTTGTACGAACATTAAAAATAACTCATGTTTAATTTAGGTTAATAGTATATTTTAATTGCACGAGTAAGGGATATGCCACCTTGATATAAAATTAGATAATATTCTAACAAGGTCATCTGATCTAGAGGATCCCTAATCATCTTTGCTAACTCTAATTGATTACAGCTCTTCTCGATAATATAGAGACCACACTGGTTAGCATATAAATTTAGACATATCAAATATTTTCAATGGTAACTTAGCATTCAGTTCTCTTTATTAGATGATTGGTATATGTAAATTATTATTGATTATAAAATATTTTAGCGCCCTCAAGAAAAGATGATATTATATCTATTTTGTACCTGTTGATTTTTCTAAAGGAAGGTTCTTTGCCATGGCTTTAATTATAACTAAATAAAAACAAAAGAATTGCATTTACCCAAGTAAAACAAGAAAAAATTATATTCCATTAGAATCTACAATAATATGATTAAAGCTGTAAGTATTTTACTTCTAATGATAAATAATAGGCATACTTAGAAACTTATTAAAAATATGTGATAATTTATAATTTGAAGAGAAACCAAACTATAACTTTGTTCAGACTGAAATAATAAAGTTGATTGAAGATGATTGTAGTGAGTTAGATTGGAAAATGGATTGGTCTATAACCAACAAGTTTTGGAATTAAAAGGCTGTAACTCTGCAACCTGTTTTTGATTAAATTCTTAAGTTACAGGTAGTCTTAACAAAGTAATCAGTCAATACTACAAACTTAATGATTACAAGTAACTTCAGTAAAGATTTGTCAACAATGTCTAAACTTTTGGACTCAAAATTCTTCGATTAATTATAAATAAGTAAATAAAATGCATAACCTGAGGAAATGGTTTTCGATTAGAAAAATTCAGGAAAATCAAGCCTTAAGCTGGTGAGTCTAAAATAATCTTAGCTTGTACTAAATATCTAAACTAGCAATTGTCAAAAATCAGAACATGAACAAGTAAAAGGGCATATTAAAGAACTGTAAATTTCATTTGAGGATTCTAAAGTTCAAACTCCTTGCTAAAAAAATAAATTGATTAAGATATAAGAGATTAATGAAGATATTATCTCAAGTATTGAATGCAAAAGTTTCATCGGAACACCAATTAGTAAATAGGAATAAATATAAAATAAAAACTAATTCAACTGTAATAATAATTTCAATGTTCTTGCCCTTAAATAAGATTCTGAACTATCAGCAATGAATAAAGGGAATCCTTAATTGACCCCAAATATAAGGATATCAGATAAGAGTCTTGAATAAATGAGAAAATATTCCAAAAATGAGATCATTATAAACATTCAATTAGATGAAGCAGAACTATAGGATGAGGATATTGATGAAAACCTCAAGCAAATTCAGTATCTCCGAGATAGATATAATATGTATAATATAGCTAGCACTACTCATTCTAATGAGTTAAGACAGATTAGTAGTGAATGAACAAAAGACTGGCAAATAATTAATATTTCATTCTCATATTTATATTCTTAACTAATCTCTTGATTAGAATGCTTTGATTTATAAAAATATATTAAGTTTTCAGTTAATTAGTAACTCGATTGTTTACTCTATTTTTAGCGGTGGGGTTTTGGGGTTTTGGGGTTTTGGGGTTTTGGGG